AGTTATATGTAACTCATGAAATCCAGTACTGTGGTCAGAGGAATACTAGGTTCTGATTGAACTGGTCTTAGTTAGATGCTCACATGTAGAGGCTGAAGTAGTCCATGGCAACCTGAACCACATAAAATTAGAGTAGATTCTTCTAGGTAATGAAAAACAATGACTACCTGAAATAGTTGCTAAATGATAGATAAGGAAGCTGAGAAACTTTCTGGTGGTTAATTACCATCTATTGCAAGGCCAGAATGAATAAGTTTACACTCAATATGTTTTCATTGCTTTATTTGAAGTTTATAAAAAACACCTTAGAATGTTAAAAATATCCTCATTCCTTGTTAAATACCGAACAATATTTTTCCAAAGTCAAATATAAATGACTTTAGATTATTTTGGATTAACCACACCATTGTTTTCTTCCATTAGCCAAGGTAATCAACAGTCAATGAAATAAACTTATGTGTGTCATTTGTTTAGTAATATATCATAATTATGTAAAAACAAATGAACGTCAGGGAGTACAGTTTTGCTTTGGGCAAATTCATTTAGGATATGAATTCTACCCATATTGATATGTAACATAGTTAAATATATGCTTAGAAAATGCTATAATTATTCACTGAGTGCCTTTATACTATACATTTTTTTCTGCCTCATATAAATCATTTACTGAGAAATTATAGAAGGTAAACATAACAACACAACAAAGAATAAGGATAAAAAGTTTTGTTTTCTTTATTTTGTCCTAGTTGCTTTTTCCTTTGGGCTCTGCTCTTACTCTCCTATTGAATGGGCAACAACCCCAAAGATGGTCTTTGGGAAATCTGGAATAACCAAATGAATTAAATAAGCCAAAACTGAATACCTTCCTCCCCTCCTACCTGTTGTAGTGTAACCTGGTTTCTCTGTAGCTTCAGAAAGTATATTCTCATGAAATCAGCCTGCAAGGATTGTTCTTTTCTCTGACAGAGTTTCTGACTAAAGCCCTCTCAGGCCTTTGTTATTTCCACTACTCACTCTCAAAGAAATTTGCTCTCAGTGGAATTGCAAATGTCTAAATTTCTCCCACAGATTTATCACTTGTAAGAAAATGTTTGGAAAGAAGCCAATGAGAGATGAGGCTAATAGAGAGCATTTAATAAATGCTTTCTTTCTTCTTTTTTTTTTTTAAAAAAAAATCAAAAGCCACTAGTGTTCTATGGTTAAAAAAGACAAAAGATAAAAAGGATTTTTGCACACCTCCCTGTCAGTGATCATATTCTGATACTTGCCAGTGAAATATATTTCCAGTATAATATTTTAGTTGACTCTTGATAGTCACTGCTAATGTCTTATTAGAAAGCTCTAGTTTAAAAAAACTAACATTTCTTTACATTTGATTTTTAAAATATCAGCCAAATGTACTTGAGTTTTTAAACTAGGTGGACAACCTTGATTTATTCTCCAAATATTTACATCTCAGACACTGTGATATAATGCTTAGAAAATAGTCACTGTCCTTTCTCAGGAATATCACTTTAATAGTTTCCTCTGTACTTTATCGACAATTTCCCCATCTCCAAGGGATTGTGTTCTTATTTATAATATAAACATGCTCTTGTTTCTATCTTTAAAAATATTCCATATTTTTGAACCACATTCTCCATTGCTATAGTCCCATATCTCTGCTACTCTTTGCAGTAAATCTTCAAAGAGTTGTCTGTATGTATGTGCTATCTCCAGTTCTTGTCCCTTCTTCACCCTAACCAACTTCATTCAACTTTTACTCACACCACTCCTCCAAAAGAACTCTTTCAAGTTGCTCAATCCAATGATTAATTCTCAGACTTCATTTTACTTGACCTGTAAGCATAATTTGACACAATTGATCACTCTCTCCTCTGTGATATACTTTTAGCATTTGGCATTTGGGATACCACATTCTTACTCTTTTTCCTACCTTACTGGTTGCTTCTTCTCAGTTTCATTTGCCAGCTCTTCCTCTCTCCTTCATCTTGATATTGGAGTACCGTAGGCCCCAGTCTTTTGTCCTCTTCACTATTTATATTCATTCCAGAACTAATTTCATCTAGTGTTTTGGCTTTATATATCACCTTTATGCCAATGACTCACAAATTTATATCTTCATCCCCAACTCTCCAGCTAAACTTTAGATTCATAAAATCTAGCTGCCAAATTAACAATCCCATCGTATGTTAATTTGGGATAATGTGCAACATTATCAAGTTTAACTAGACATCTCAGTTTAACAGGTTTAAAACTGAGTTCCTGAAGCAAGGACACCCAGTAGCAATGAGCACATCTAGTGCTCATATCTTGTTTTCTAAATACCATTTCCCACTAAAAGGAACCATAACTCCTTGGAGAACTGGCTGATTCCAGGCATGGAACAGAGAAAATATAAGATGAGCCAGGAGCATCTTGTGGTTCCAGAAAATAAGAAAGTGCTAAATACAAATAAATAAATAAAAATAAATAAATAAATAAAAGGAAGTGGGTGGGGGGAGACACGTCAAAAGAACACAGAAGCAAACCTGAAGGTCAATGACCAAATCTGGGATAATGTGAACATCAAAATCATGTACTAGTGAAATATAAGCCACAGAATAAAATAAATATCCATAATAACATAAATTACTGGATAAATAAATGATGAGAAGGGACAGCTCATCCTACCTAATAATAGACAAACATGGTAATTGACCATACCTTCGCTATGCCTCCCATTGGCTAATCAGCATGATATGCAAATTAACCGCCAACAAAGATGGTGGTTAATTTGCATATACCAGCTGGGAGCGAAGACTGAAGACAACATGGAAGTGAAGCGCTATAGAAGGGAGCTAAGTAGAGGTGGTGGAGACAGGAACGGAGCCAAGGCTGTGGAGGCGGGAGGCGGGAGGGGAAACCCACCCGGAGTGGCTGGGAGTGGGAGCGAAGCCCACCTCAGTGGGTTTCACTCCCTTCTCTGCTTTGCTCCAGATGCAGGAGAATAAAATAAATATCCATAATAACATAAATTACTGGACAGATAAATAAATGATGAGAAGGGACAGCTCATCTAATAATACTTGCAGGAATCTTCCTGCAATGGGCCTCTAGTCTAATAATAAGGTAGAAGAAATAATAGAAATGAGAAAATTACTGTTTGGCAAACAGCACAGTAATTATTGTTGCCTACAAGCGTCATTAATAGGTGCCAAAATTAGTGGGTAAATACATGCTGAGAAACAAGATACTTATATAATCTCAAAGTATCGTCCCACAAGACACTCACTAATAACAAACAGAAAAATCATAACTTTACCTTGGAGAGACAGTGTTCCAAGTACATCAATGGTAATGAGACATATCAACATCACGTGCCTCCTTGATATAATGGCATCACTTCTGTAGTAGTATAGCCAAAAATTTATAACCATGGCCAACTCAATTGAGGGAAATTTTATAAAATAACTGATCCGTATTTCTTTAAAAATGTCAAATGAAAGACAAAGAAAGAAGGAGAAACTGTCCTAGATTGGGACAGTTAGTAGCATCATATCAATGTTAATTTCCTGGTTTATAATTATACTTTGGTTTTGTAAAATGTTATCATCTGAAGGAGCTGGGTGAAAGTTACACACGAGTTAACTGTAACATTTCTTAAACTTAAAAAAAAATCTAACATTATTTAAAAAAAAATAAAAAGTAAAAAAAAATACCCAAATTCTTTATCTCTCTTTTATCAATCTACTCCATCTCCACTGATGGCAATTTCATTCTTCTTGTATCCAGGCCAAAATCTTTGAAATTACCCTTCATTTCTCTTTTTTTCCCCCTCCTCATATCTTAAATACATTCTACAGGAAATTTTATGAGTGTCTTTAAATACATCCAAAATCTAACCATTTCTTATCACCTCTACTGTAACCTCACTAGTCCAGGATACCATAAGTGCTTGCCTGGATTATTACAAAAGCTTTTTAACTGAACTTCTTGATCCATTCCTCTTCTAGTAACACTCCATTGGCTCCCATTTCTTTCAGAGTAAAGGCTAAAGTTCTGACTATGGCCCAGGAGCCATATACAATCTGGTTTTGTTAATATCTGACCTCCTTTCTTATTACTCATTCCATTCCAACCACTTTGATCTTCCTGCTTTCTCTTGACCATGCCAAGCTGCTCCTCCCTTAGAGCCTTTCTACTGGCTGTTCCCTTTTCCCTGAATTTCCTTTCTTGCCCCACACATTACTTAGCTAACCTCCTTCTCTTTTTCAAGCTTTTGCTTAAAGGTCTTTCTCCCAGTGAGTGACCACTATCTTTACAAATTACAAGCCCTTATCTTGGTTCTTCTTAATCTGCTGCAATTTTTGGCCATTTTTTATCATCTTTGAATGCAAAATAGAATTTTTACTTGTATCATATATATTGTATATTGTTGATCTCTATAAACAATATTATATATCTGCTTATTGCTAGCATATAAACTCTTAAGAGGGCATAGATATTAGTCTTTTTTCTGAGCATTAATACAGTCCTTGGTACACTGTATTCACTTAAAAATATAAACAATATTATATATCTGCTTATTGCTAGCATATAAATTCTTAAGAGGGCAGAGATATTAGTCTTTTTCTGAGCTTTAATACAGTCCTTGGTACACTGTATACACTTAAAAATACGTTATGATATGACTCAAAAGTTTATTATTTGATTGATATATTACTGAAGGACAGAGAAAACATCATATGTCTCTTTCCCACAGATACTTATGAGCAACCAGGTAGTTAGATAACAGATACAAATTATTTGTTTAAAAGTCAAGACAATGTGTAAAAATAAGAAGTTTAGCCAGGACTATTTTGGTGACAAGTGAAACAAAACCACTCAAATTAGCTTAAGGTATAAAATGGGGGTCGGGGGGGAGGGAATTTACTTGTTACAAAACTGAACAGCTCAGAAGTAAATCTAGATCCAGGCATACTGGATGTAGGGGACTTACAGCTGTCTTAAGAACTTACTGATTTCTTTCATTTTTGCTCAACTTGATCTTCCTTTGAAATGGCTTGGGTCTCCGGCAGGTGTTCTCCACATGGTAGTCCCAGAAGCTCCAGCACAGATTCTTTAGGTTGAGTAAGCCCAGAATTCACTCTGGCCTGATGGGGGTTGCACTGTGGCAAAGGAATGAGGGACTCTCATTACTATAGCTTGGGCCACAGGCACAATCCCCAAACCACTTATACTGAGAGTGGGAGGAGTAAAACATGAAATTAATTATAGAATTGAGCCAAACCAATTAGTGTAAATTTGTAGAATTGTATAGCTGATATTAGAAGTACAGCACTCTGACCCCTAGTGGTCAGATTCCATAAAGAAAATGTAGTATTAGTTCCAAGGCAACAGACGGTTAACTTATTGCACTTCATATTTTTATAAGATTTTTTTTCCAATTTATTAAGAACATCAGTATCCTTCCTTTCTATCCTCTGCATTGAAGCTTTCACCTATTTAGGGCAAATTTTCTTTTGACATAGTTCTTGTATCCCTTCCTTTTCCCCTATCTCTTTGGTCACCCATCTTCTTTCTTGGCTTCAGATTTAGAGTACTGTGATAATATCCTAAGTTATTTCCTTAGCTTCAATACTTTATAAAAATCAATACCTAAAAAATATTTCTAAAAAACTGCTTTAGTTGTATGGTGCCCAGCTTGGGAATTTACTCTGACACTAAATTCATCATTCCCAATCAAAGTCCTGAGGTCTAGCATTAACTATCATATGCCCCCTCATCCTTTTGCTTGAGAAAATACAATTAGCTTTCTGTCACATGCAATGGTAAGCTAACATAAATAATGTTATATCTGCATAATACATGGTGACTTGTTGAACTTTAAAAATTGAGAACACTTATTATTTACACTTTTATTTCTTATATAAGAAATAGATTAATCCATTTTAAATTTGATCCCACTAAACTTCCCTAATATTCTATACAGAAAATTCCATGTATACTTCTTATCATTTTTTAAGTGAATTGCCTAACTTATTTCTCATAAAAAGATACTGATTGGTACAAATTTATAAGCACTTTGCTAATTGCTCAGGTCATAATATGCTAAATCTAAAATATATGTTCCTAAATGTTTATACTTTTCATATTTTATTCTTTTGTTTTTGGTCAGTGGCTGAGATAGTAAGAATTCTCTAACTTCATTATTGTCTACAATTTCTCTTCAATTTTCATTGTAAAGTTTAACATAAAACAATGAGTCAATTACTCTGAAAGCTTATAGATTTTATTCTGCATTTTCTTTATCTTCAATTCCCTTTCATACTTTCAATGAAAGCATGCAGTTTCTTTCTTCTGAAGTATTCCTATAGAATTATTTAAAAAAAGATAAAAACAAACAAACAAAAAACAACCCTGAACTACTTCTGGTCAAGATGGCAATATAGATAAATGTACTCATATCCTCCCACAACCACATCAAAATTACAACTAAACTACAGAGCCCCCATCATTCAGAACCAGCTGAAATCTAGCTGAATAGACGTCCTAGGGAACTAAAGAAGAAGCCACATCAATACTGGTAGGACAGGCGGAGATGCCGAATGGGCTGGTCCCACATCCACATGTCGTGGATAAAGATTGGGAGGGTTGGCTCAGCTGTGGAGGTCCTCCATTAGGAGAAAGGAAGGTCTCAGCTCCACACCAGGCCCTCCAGTTCAGGGTTCCATTGCCTCGAATAAAAGTCCCCATAACTTCTGGCTTTAAAAACCAGTGGGAATTATGGCTGAGGAATATAGAGGGCTTCTGGAGTCCCAGGCAGTTCCTCTTAAAAGGCCTACTAACGGACTTACTCAGACTCACTCTCTCTGAGCTCCAGTGCTGGGGCAGCAGTTTAAAAGGATCCAAGGAGCTCTGACTGGTTTGGCTCAGTAGATAGAGCGTTGGCCTGCGGACTGAAGGGTCCCAGGTTTGATTCCGGTCAAGGGCATGTACCATGGTTGCAGGCACATTCCCAGTAAAGGGTGTGCAGGAGGCAGCTGATCGATGTTTCTCTCTCATCGATGTTTCTAACTCTCTATCCCTCTCCCTTCCTCTCTGTAAAAAAATCAATAAAGTATATTAAAAATAAATAATAGGATCCAAGGACATACAGGGAGGAACTGAATTGTCTAGTATCAGGGCAAGAGCTGTGTGTGGGGGGGTGAGGGCAACTTTCTGCTAGACAAAAGTGCTGGCAGAGGCCATTACTCCTTTTCTGAGCCCTTCCCCCAGAGTCTGCAGGTGGGCACCATATCTGAGTTTCCATCAATGTGGTACACACTGTTCACTCTGCCCAGATGATTCCCTGAGAATTCACCCCACCCAACTTGCAGGCCAACCCAAGCTGTTTCTAGTGGCTTTTCCATATGCATGGCCTGTCTTGGCTTATGCTTCAGATTTTCCTAAAATCTCTAAAACAAGCAGCATCTGGTCTCATAAAGTCCTGTACCTCTTGCTAAATGGCCCCAGGCCTGGCACTAGCAGCAGCCTTGGTTTGCAGCTTGGGTAGCTCCAAGCCCAGCACCAGTAGCAGTCATCTGCAGATCACTTTGTAGCTCATGCCCGTTGGCGCTGGGCAGAACACAGGTGGCAGCTGACCTTGGTCTGCACCTCCCAGGAGGTCCCAGAGCCAGTGTATCTGGTGTACAGCTTCAGACAACATCGATGCCCCACCCAACCACTTCCACAAGTTACACACTCAAGTGGCAGACTCAGCGGGCACCAGAACCCCACTGAAGTAAGTCCTGCTGCATAGGATGGGTCCCTGACCAGCTGATCCTTCATGGTGGCTGGTGGTCTCTGCCAGTGTCTGTAGCAGATCGGCTGGTGATAAATCCCTCCCATTGATGTGCCAAAAGCAATCATGGCTTAACTACAATAGGAGGGTATACACAGCCCACACAGGTAGGGCGCACCTGAAGTGCCCAGCTTGGGTGATTGGGAAGGCTGTGCCACTGGACCTTACAGAACACCTACTACATTAGGCCACTCTACCAAGTCTGGGAGACATAGCAGCTTTGCCTAATACATAGAAACAAACAGAGGCAGGCTGTCAAAATGACAAGACAAAAAAACATGACTCAAATGAAAGAAACATGACTCAGAAGAAAACTCTAGAAAAAGAACTAAAATGACAAGACAAAAAAACATGACTCAAATGAAAGAACAGAAGAAAACTCTAGAAAAAGAACTTAACAAATGGAGACAATCAATCTACTAGATGCAGAGTTCAGAACACTGGTTATAGGATGCTCAGTGAACTTAGTGAAAACATCAATAGTATAAAAAAGGACATGGAAACCATAAAAAAAGAACCAGTCAGTAACGAAGGGTACACTAACTGAAATGAAGAATAATTTACAGGGAATAAACAGTAGAGTAGATAAAGCTGAGAATCAAATCAGCAATTTGGAATATAAGGAAGAAAAAGTCACCCAATCAGAACAGCAAGAAGAAAAAAGAATCCAAAAAATGAAGATAGTGTAAGGAGCCTCTGGGACAACTTCAAGCATACCAACATTCACATCACGGATGTGCCAGAAGGGAAGAGAGAAAGCAAGAAATTGAAAACCTACTAGTATTTGAAAGAATAATGACAGAAAACTTCCCTAAACTGGTGAAGGAAGTAGACATACAAGTCTAGGAAGCACAGAGAGTCCCACACAAGATGAAGCCAAAGAGGCCCACACCAAGACATATCATAATTAAAATGCAAAACATTAAAGACAAAGACAAAATCTAAAAAGCAGCAAGAGAAAAGCAGTTACCTACAAGAGAGCTCCCATAAGACAATCAGCTGGTTTCTCAACAGAAACTTTTCAGGCCAGAAAGGACTGGCAATAAATATTCAAAGCGATGAAAAGAACCTACAACCAAGATTACTCTATCCAGCAAAGTTCTCATTTAGAATTGGTCAGATGAAGAGCTTCACAGACAAGGAAAAGCGAAAGGAGTTCATCACCACCAAACCAGCATGACATGAAAATTATGAACAATAAAATTACAATGAACACACATCTATCAACAATTAAATCTAAAAAACAAAATAAATGAACAAGCAGGACAGAAACGGACTTATAGATAGAGATAACATTTTGAAGGCTGCCAGATGGGAGGAGGGTGGGGGATGGGTGAGTAAGGTGAAACGATTAAGAAGTACAAATAGGTTATTACCAAAAAGTCACGGGGATGTAAAGTACAGCACAGGGACTATAGTCAGTAATATTCTAATAACTTTGTATAGTGTCCGATGGCTACAAGAGTTATCAGGATGATCACTTAATAAGTTATATACTGTCTAATCACTGAGGTGTACACCTGAAACTAATATAATATTGTATATCAACTGTAATTGAAAAATAAAAAATGATTTAAAATGATTTAAATGAACTCAGACTGCCTATGACTCAGTAAAAAAAAAAAGGATAATGACAGAATAACAATAGGACTCCTAACTCATCAGATAAGAGAATAATTATGATGAATACATTTGAGAATTCACATAGAGGGCTTAATATAGCTACTGACACATTTTATAAGTTCTCAAAAAAGTTAACTTTTACTATTATTTTCTAGATTCACTTGCATTTTTAATAGTATATACCAATTTGTTTGTCTAGCACCAAACATTTATAAAACATTTAATATTATATTATGGGCTAAAAAGCATTAACAATATGGAATGTCTATTCTTGTGAAGTTTACAATATAATTTGAGAGACAAAGCATAAAGACTTAAAATTTATAAACAAAATGTGGCATAAACATACAATGGAATGTTATTCAGCTTCAAAAGGAAGGAAATTCTGACATGCTACAACATGAATGAACCTTGAAGGCATTATGCTAAGTGAAAAAAAAAAGCTAAAAAGGACAAATATTGTAAGAGGTACCTAGAACAGTCAAATTCATACAGACAGAAAGCAGAATGGTGGTTGCCAGAGGTTGGGTGGAGAGGGGAGGAGCGGTTGTTTAATGAGTACAGTTTCAGTTTTGGAGGTGACAAAGTTCGGGAGATGAATGGTGGTGATGGGGCACCAAAAAAATGTGAATGTGCTCAATGCTATTAAACTGTATACTTAGAAATGATCACAGCGGTAAATGTCATGTTATGTATATCTTA